TATATATATCATGTGGCCTCTTAGCACAGTTTGTCTTTCCTGGATCTTCTCCGTGCACAAGAGTGTGTCTCTTTTGTGTTCTCGTTTTCGTAACCAGTTTTTGGGGGATGGCATTGTGACCATACTGGCCTGCACTCGGAGATCCTTGTGCTGATTCTGCATCGGTTTTGTTTTATGTCATATGTAGTTGCAGTCAGGACAGGGCAGAGCTCTACTCTGAGACACTCAGTGAATAAAGGCTCTGCTTTATGTGGGTCATGATATGGGCTACCTATGTTACGTACTGCCTCAGCATTAAACTTGTCATAATTGCCTATACTGCTTTCTTTGGGTGAGGTTTAAAATGAACACAAATAACACAAATCAGTGTTACATTATTATTATTTATGTACTATTATAGTAATTACTATTTTGAATTAGCTTTTATTTTTATATTTGCAGTTTTAATTTTAGTTTCAGCTTTAGTAAATTTGTTTTTGTCAGATTTTTAAAAATGTTAATGTCTCTATAGCTTTATTTATATTTATTTTTAGTACATCAACTTAAATTTATTTTATATCAGTTACTTTCCAAAGCAACATTTTCATTTAAATTTGTAATATTTATTTAAATTGTGATCTAATATTTAATTCAATACATGAAAAGGTAGCTTTATTTTTAGATAACAATAACAACGCTGACATGGACTCTGATGAATAAAAAAGCTTTATTGGGGCTATTTGAGCTCAAGTCTGGGGTGTGTGTCCAGTGGCACCGGCTACTATAGAGTACAAAGGAGTCAACTTGTTCCACCCCGAACAAAAGGAAAAGAACAGCAAAAAGGTTTTTATTTAGGAAAACGTATGATTAAATATGATTAAGTACTGATTTAAATATTTTTGTTATATTTAATAATATATGTATTATTATAATTATAAACATATAGGGCTGGTGAAAATATGACAGCAATAAAGCATAAGTCCTTATATTAAATGTTACTAAATTATTATAGTAATTACAATTTAATATAATTATAAGAAGCTTCACAAAATAATTAAACAGGAAGTGTAGTAGATGTTTTTTTATGCATTCATATACTTTTGTAATAACTGAGTTAACGTGCACCATTAGGTGACTTTTAGTTTCTTGGAAAGTCTTTTAAGAAATTTTTTTTGCTTTCGAATGTAATTCGAAGCTATTGCATTAATTTCATTTCGTTCAGTTTAGTGTGTATAACCTATACACCTATATAACCTTCTGCGGGTGCTGTATTTATTTTCACATTTGAAGAGCCGGTTTTTCTGTAATGCTTTCATCCGCCGCGAGAGGGCGATATATCGCTCTGATCAGCTGCTGGAAATAACCGAGAGCAGACATGAAGAGTGCTCAAGTGTACAGGAGGATTAACTGAACGTTTACTAATGACTCTTTAAATGGCGTTTACTTTAACGTTAGTTATTTTGATAATTTACCATGAACTGCTCACGAGATCCAACAGCGTCGAACTACTAAGCAGGACATATCTGACGGACGGAGAACGATTGAAGACTTTTCAGCAAATAAATGAAAACAATGAACTCTTATCAGAGACGGATTAATTTTCATGTACATTTAGTAGACTAACATTAATATCTCACAAACTACAGCATTAAAATAATAATCATAAGAACTCAAGCACTGCGGCTGATAAGTGACAATGGATGTGTCTCAAAATCTAGTGAACTGCCTAACTAGACACTGTAGCAGTTTTAGTCATCATAGATGACCTCACTCACAAATCGTTGAATGCGCCTTGGATACCTAGAAATGCTGTTTAGGTAGGCAGCTTACTTGGGTTTGAGAGGCAGCCAATAACTAGCTGATTTTAATGTATCTATATATTAAAATTATAAAGTAAATCTACAGTTACTAACCTTAAAACATGAGTTTTACGGAACCCATTAAAAAAAATAGGCAATGCCAGTAATGCCATTAGTTTCTGTCATGTGATATGACACATTTCCTCATGTGATTAACATCTCACCTGTTGCACAAGGTATCTCTGGTCATGTCTCGTTTTGTCTGATTGTAGAGTTCACTGAAGAGACAAGCCTTTCTGAATTCAGCACTGAAGAAATCAAACCACTCTGCCCGTTATGGCATCAACCAGCTCTCAGACTTATCTCCACAACAATTCAAATGTGACTATATGCAGGTTGTGGATGCTTACAGATAAATGCATTTTGTATGATGGCAACTAACATGTCTCGTTTTTCCTCAGAGCGATATCTCACAGCCTGGGCTGAGACGGCTTCAAATTTTGACCCCTCTAGGTCTGGAATTCAAGTTAAGATGAATTATCCACCCAAGTTTGATTGGAGGGACTATGGATTTGTTGGACCAGTCCGAAACAAGGAGTCGGTAGGGTGTAGATGTTAAGATTAGGCTTTAGATCTGAACTTTTTCCCACTCATGCAAATACTCAAAATAAATGACTTTATTTCTTACCATGTGTAATAGATAGGTTTGCACTGCATTTCTTCTTGCTCTTTCGTGTAGTGTGGAGGATGCTGGGCCTTCAGTGTGGTGGAGGCCATTGAAACAGTATCTGCTAAAGATGGTGGAAAACTGCAGCAGCTCAGTGTGCAGCAGGTTATAGACTGTTCTTATGAAAACGAGGGCTGCAATGGGGAAAGAGAAAGAAGATGACAGCACCTGTGCGAGCCAATCCAGAGCTCCAACAGGAGATCTGGATTGGCTCACACAGGTGCTGTCATCTTCTTTCTCTTTTTCTCGTGATGATATAACTAATAATTGTAATAATATCTCACAATATTACTGTTTTTACTGAAATTTTGATTCAATAAATCTTACTGACCCCAAACGTTTGAACGGTTGTGCAACAGAGTTTGTACAGGTTGTTATTTTCCTATTATCATTATTTTCATTTTCCCTAAATTTTGCAAACAATTTTACATCTGATTAAAAGCAGTAATTAAGCTGGTCAGATCACATTCTAAGCTTTTAAATGACACCTGTTTTTTGGAACACACGTTTTAATTAGTATTTTAATAAGGGTTTTAATTAATTATCAGGCTGCACCAGTTTTAAGAGACTTGAAACTTAAAGTGAAGTTGTCTGTACAAGCCACAACAAGCTGCTGATTAAAGGTGTATGTCATCCCAGAAATTCCATAATTTGCACATTCTAATATTCTGTTTTATATATCTTTTTTATTTCAGACTAAACTAAAGTTAGTAAATGAGGCGGAGTATCCCTTCAAAGACGAGGCTGGGATCTGCCAGTACTTTCCTCAGTCTCACGCTGGAGTGGCAGTGAGGAATTACTCAGCTTATGACTTCAGGTAATGGAGGTAGCATGCAGATGGCTTGAGCTTTACATCAACAGTCTGCTGTGCCGTTGCATTAAGTGCAGTGTAGACCTCATGTACTATTAAAATTCAAGGTTGAAGTTTGTCAGGATGTGTTTGTCAGCATTTTATGTTTACTCAACTCTGTTCGCAACTCAGGGTCAGGTGCTGAACGGCCACTGACTGTACACTCACAAAGCTCACGTACCACTGGTCAAATACCAAATGCACTTCTCACCCGTGTTTCGTTGTCTTACATTTGTGCCAAATGTCACTCTGTGTCTCACATAGTGTTCTTATTGAGATGAGACAAGATTTCTGTCTTAACCAACTGGGATTGATATGTTGTTGTAGTGGACAGGAAGAGGTGATGACCATGTGCTGGTGGAGTCGGGGCCTCATCAGCTGGCAGGATTACCTGGGCGGCATCATACAGCACAACTGCTCCAGCCACAACACCAACCATGCCGTACTGATCACCGGTTGTGATACCACAGGTACACAGACAGACACGGGCGATTAAACACTATTTACTTGTGCCTCAGAGCATATAAAGGTTCAAAGCGCTGGCCTTCACGGATTACGTCCTGTCAAGGGCACAAAATTGAGCCGACACTGGCAAACACTGGCTGTGCGCCAACATCCCAGAAAACAGCCTGATGCATCTGCACTATAATCAGCAAGCTGTCCACAGCGTTTATCCTCTCCGATGATTTGTTTTCTCTTGTTTGTTTACTAGTTTGAATTAAGTACTTCCAGTGTAAAGTAGAGAAATTGATGCTCAGTTTCATGCCAAAACTGTTATTGCAAGCATTATTAATCATTTCATACCGTTATAAGTGTACACTATGTAGTGCGACTTGCTATTAATCATTTCCCATCTGGGGTATATTTTCAATATGTCTTCATATTTATCACAGGGAAAGTGCCATATTGGATAGTACGCAATTCATGGGGGACCTCATGGGGTGACAATAGATATGCTTACATAAAAATAGGGAACGACATGTGTGGTAAGTTTATGTAGTGACCCACTACTAATGCTTTTTTACCTTGTTAACAGTCACAGTTTCACAGACAAGTGATACACAATGCATTCTGCTGCTGTGAGGCATTGTGTGCATTCATAAATATTCATGAAATGCTTGGATGTTGGCATACACTCAATACTGTTTGCAATGTGAAAATCAAATCATAAATGCCTAGTTGATCATGTTTTAATTCATATCAGATCATTTGGAAGTGATGTAGTGAGGTGATTGTGAGGTTGTGATCTTGTTTGTCAGTTGCTTTGGATGACTTTACGCAATGTCAGATGACAATCAACAGCCAGTTTTTCTTTTCCCAGGAATTGTGGACAATGTTGCTGCTGTTTTTGTGTAATTGTCGATAATCTTTGTACTTCCGTGAAAAGGCTGTGGCAGATCGACATTTTAAAATATCATCCTAAGGATGGAAATCCTCCAGTATTGCTGATGACAATTGTACAAATTCTCATGGGGATGCAGATAACAAATCCTGTTGCCTCTCGATTACGAAGGAAGTACGCTGCTATTTGAGCTAATACACCACATTCCTAATCCCAGCCACTGTAGCCCAAAATAATCAGTCAGAGCCGGATTTCATTTTAGTTATGCAACACACACCAGCTAGATTCGTCAATAAGAATGTTTTAATCTTCAGAAAACACTTTTAGTGTATATATATATATATATATATATATAGTGCACAACTGAAGACTTATTGTATTGTGACATTGCACTGATATAGGACACACAAGTGAACTCATCTGCAAAAATGTGAAAATATTATTATATGTAAATACTCATTACAGCCTTAAAGAGTTTATGATTTTTTGTATGTGTATATATATATATATATATATATATATATATATATATATATATATATATATATAGTGCACAACTGAAGACTTATTGTATTGTGACATTGCACTGATATAGGACACACAAGTGAACTCATCTGCAAAAATGTGAAAATATTATTATATGTAAATACTCATTACAGCCTTAAAGAGTTTTGAAAGAAAAAGTGCTTATTACTACAGTATGTGCCAGATATTTAGAATTATCTGCTTTTAGAAACACTTGTAACTACAAAGCTTACTTTTATTCTGTTTCACAGTTTTGCATTTGCTATTACATTTTAAGAATAATCTGAAATGTTTACTGATAGTATATAAACTCCATTCTATCCAAGTTTACATTTGGACCAAAAATGTGGTCTGTTTTTTCCCCCCCAAATAAACAAGAAGTTTCTCTATATCTGTATTTGTGTATATTGTATTTACAAAATAGAAATCTGTTATAATATTACATTATATTGACAGTATATACACAAGTGCATCAACAGTTTCACTGATGTAGATATTTTGTTGATGCCGTTGTTATATTAACTTAACATCTGTAAAATCAGCACAGCTTTGTAGCCTCTCATTCTGCCATTTAAAAAGTTTTTGGTGACAAATCTTGGGGATGGTAGACTTTTCTTCTTCTTTTGTACTCTGCAAACGCTGTCCATCCTTTTCTCATCCCTGCATCCGTTTAGTCAGAGTCATCGCTGCTGCTGCAGTAGGAGCTGTCGCAGCATTCGGCCATGTACAGGAAGGTGTGCTCACTCGGGTCCAGCTTGGGAACCCACTCCCTCGGAACCAGGAAGGTGGCCAGGTTAAACAGATCCACAAACACCTTGTAGCGATCACTGGTAAAACATTCATAAGGCTTATCAATACATTCTGTTCTTGTTTCATCTAATTTTCCAGCATTGTGTTTCACATGGATAATTCCAACAGATGCAGAGTGTTTAATCTGGAGACTGGATTTGTCCCAGATTATTTGGTCTACCTGACAGTGGAGCGCAGGTAATGATAGCCTGATGAGCCACCTGTGCCATCTTTACTGCCGATCATTCTGTGCACCATACACACATGGTTGTCTAGGGGAAAATCCCAGTATAAATTATGCAGGAAGTAAAATAAAATAGTTAATGATATGCAAAAGAAAATATTTTGTTCTCTTTTATTCAGGGTTGACACTCCTAATAGGCTTTGCCCTACAGGTTTATTTGCTGTTCTGATGCTTTATGTTTTCAGTGATATCACATACATCTCCATTTTGTCATGAGGGTGTCGATGTCCATCAGAGATGTCAGGAGCTGGAAAGGAACCTGAAATCGAGGCTCCTCCCTGAGAGCAGATGGCGATAAGTTACAAATGTTTTTTTTCCATCAAGCTATAAAAAACATTTTTTAGCAAATGTACAGGGGTGTTCCTTTGAGTATCATGTAAATACTGTATGTATGAATACGTCCAGTATTATTCAGTACCATGACATACATATCAAGAAGTCCTATGATATTACATCTGATACAGCATCTCATTTTGAAAGATTATTGATAAATATTAAGGTAATTTTTCATAGTAACTTTCAGGCGTAACAGTTGAATTTAACTCTTTGGGTTTTAAATAGGTAAGTTTACAATAAGGTGGCATGTTAACATTAGTTTATATTTATTTATCTTGGTTAATGTAACATTTTTATATATAGAATGATTTCTGAAGGATCATGTAACACTGAAGTTGGAGTAATGACTGCTGAAAATTCATCTTTTCCATCACAGGAATATATTCAATATATTACAAATGTAGTAAAATATTAAACAGTTATTTAAAATTGTAATAATATTTCACAATATTACCGTTTTTTGTTTTTTTTTACTGTATTTTTGATTAAATGCAGCCTTGGTGAGAGGTGGTAGAACAGCATCTCTTTACTGATTTTGTGATTAAATTAGCAGGTCATCTTGCAGATAGATGTACCTATAGAAGTAGATCATCAGGGCTCCTTGCAGTGCTTTATAGGACAGCCTCCTCTGACCTGCATAGACAGAAGCAGATATTCAGATGTTATAGCTAGTGGATGTGTCACTTGACATTGTGTCTCCGCAGCATCTCGAGAGGTTTTCTGACCTGTGCTTACTAAGTGATCGTGTCTTTTCTCATCAAAGAGCGATAAGAAAATGTCTCTCTGCTTAATGAGCTCAGCCATCATCTCCTCTTTCATTTCCGAGGCTGGTTTTTGCTATTAAGAGAACATGAGAGTTGTCACTTACGACTTAGATGTGAGAATTGCACAGAATTACCCAGGGATCCTCCACATACCTCTATTTTTTCCTTTTCTCTCCTGAGCCCCCCGAGAATATTGGTTTCCAGTTTCCCCCAAAAATTGAAGCCATCTTCCTCCAAGCCAGGCGTTCTCTCCAGCCATTGCTGAAAAAGTATTGATTGCTTATGAGAAATGTTAATCAGCAGGTTGCTGTCCGCTAGATTAATCCTGACTTGATATATAAATTGGCCATGTAACCTATTCCTCTCTGAATACCAATAACCTGCAATGAAGTCCAGTAAGTTATGGTTCATTGATTAATCCACTATTCATGACTTCACAGCTAATATTTCATCTTATAATGTCATTTCCCTCAGGTTTACCTTCACTAACTGCAGCAGTGTGGGCTCCTGCTCTGAGTGGAGGAGCAGCTCACTTTCTTGGTCACGAAAATTGTCCCGGTAATGCCTTCTGTTGTAGGGGACCCTCTGGTTGTGCTGGACCCCAATCTTATTTTCCAACAGTCGAAACTGCAGACTCTGGAAGCCTGAAGCAGATGAGAGATATTCCCTGTGCACAAAAAAACACAGATCAATTGAGCTAAATACAATTATGCTAAACACTGCCATTGATTTTGATGTAACAAATTAGTGCCATCCAGTGCTTATTTACTGAGTTAGCCGTCTCCCGTCTCTTGAGTGTTAGCACATTTCCAACAGCAAGTTTGCCCAAACAATGCTGTTTGGCAGTGAGGCTTATTTTTTTTAAACAGTATTAGGAATAAAAATAATGACAATTATATACACCTTACCTGAAGTCATAGAAGTCTAAGGCAGTCATGGTTTCCAGAACAGCAAACTGGTCAAGCAATAGTCTGAATATCATCACAATCCTGTGGATGCGAGTGTTGACTTTGAGCATGTTTCGCTCGTCACGTACCTGAAAAAATATGCAGTACATTTAGATTCATTTTCAGCAGACTTTATACTGACACATGCCATTTAACTAGAGAAGTATCTTAAACTAGACTGAAGGTGGCAGCCTCATGCTGCAGTGCACATCCTTTCTTGGAACTGAACTCTACATAATAAAACTGAAGGTTCGGGCTGTTTGTCATTGTCCTAAAGGCCCCCAAACAATGAATGAACTGAATTTTTATTAGGTCTTGAAGCATGCATATATGTGGCACTTTGACAAGAATCCCAAATATCCTTATATGTGAAGTAATATAAAAAAATTATTATTATTAAATATATTAATAATTTTATGCAACAATGACAAAATAATGACATCTATAATGTTAAAAAGATTTTTAATTCAAATAATTGCTGTTCTTTTGAACTTTCCATTCATCAAAGAATCTTGAAAAAAAATGTATCAGTTTCCACAGTAATATTAAGCAGCCCAACCGTTTTCACTGTTGATAATAATAAAAAGAAATGTTGAGCATCAAATTGGCATATTACAATGATTAACACTGAAGACTGGAATAATGACTGCTGAAAATTCAGTTTTGCCATCACAGGAATAAATTGCAAACTCAGTGTGTCTATTAAAATAGAACATAAAAAAAACGAACTAGTTCACAGTTTGCCATTAAAATCTGAAATGCACACAACACATGCATTTTCCAGTGTTAATTTGGCAACTAAGGAAGAATCACATGGTGTTCTGGACATACATGGCATTATAATAAACTTTAGATTCGAGGGCTGCTCACGAATTAATCATGAACTATTTTAGGAGAAGCTATGCTTTATGCTTATTAAAATATATTTAAAAAAAATCATAAGCATGAGATAATGAGTAGTTTACCTGCAGATAGTCACCATAAATAAGACCTCCTTTACTGGCCTTGTTAATTCCAGTCTGAGAATCATCATTCTCATCTTCTTTCTGATGCTGCTTGCTGGTTGACCTGTATTTTCATCAAACGCATCAACAAGAAACATTTGTGTATTCAGTGTAGTTTTGTCTTCCAACTGGTTTCAGATATGGCAGAGATATGATCCGCTCCATTTTAAGGGGAAATGCGGCTTTGAAATTAGCAGTAAATGATCTCAAATATCGAAAAATGTTGAAAGCTGAATATACATACACAAATTTCCTCTGAAAATATGGGCATCCACTCATGGCTGAAATGTTAATATGAGACAAGCCGGATTGTTTTCTTTCCCTCCACTTCAAAAAGGCAGTTCTCAAGGATGTTCAGACGTTTTATAACGTTTTTCCCCCATGCTGACTGACCAATCGCCTCTAGATCTATCATCCCACCTCCCTTCTGTCCATGTTCACCCCCGTGGACACGTTGTACTTTGTCTTTTTCTTATCTTCGATGAAATCGAACTGATACAGGTGAATTGAAACAGAACTTTGACTTAACATTATGAGCAGGGCGTTTGTACAGGTGCATGTCAATGATTGTCTTCTGGACAACTGTCAGATCAGCGGTCTTCCCCATGATTGTGTAGCCTAGTGAACCAAACTGAGAGACCATTTTGAAGGCTCAGGAAACCTTTGCAGGTATTTTGAGTTGATTAGCTGATTGGCATGTCACCATATTCTAATTTGTTGAGATAGTGAATTGGTGGGTTTTTGTTAAATGTGAGCCAAAATCATCACAATTAAAAGAACCAAAGACTTAAACTACTTCAGTCTGTGTGCATTTAATTTATTTAATACACGAGTTTCACAACTTGAGTTGAATTACTGAAATAAATGAACTTTTCCATGACATTCTAATTTATTGAGATGCACCTGTAGATAAATTGAACGCAGTGGCGCCTGCAGGTGTACGGCTGTACGCACTACCATGAGCGCTTTGACTGACCTGAGAAACATTCCCCGGCTCTTCTCCTGGCCACGGGTCTGAAATGCACAGGGTAAATGCGCAATTAAAATAAATCTATTATGGCTGTCGCGAATAAAATGAAAATGAAATGAAAAATGTCAATTGTGGCATTACATTTATCTGCTCAGTGTTCATATCGCGTCATATTTCTTTTGACACGTTTTGTCAGTGCGCATGCGCGCTGACTGGATTCTGCACTCGCCCAATTATGAATAATAAACAACAAAGTGCACGTGTACGATGTAAGTAAGAGATTAATTTCACAGCATAGACAGCTTCATTGATTATAACGGCAGGTTTGTGTGTGTGTGTGTGTGTGTGTGTTTCGAGAATGCTTAAACCGTCCGTCATAATGTTTTTTAATGTAAAAGTTATTTGCTCGCTTTATGTATTGGCCTGTAACTTATTCGATGTTTGAATAACAGTGGCAATGAAGTATAATTAAATAAATAGTAAGTTACAATGTTTCTTTTATATATATATATATAAATTGTGGTCACGTTAAATACAAATTCAGTCGTATTAAAAATATTGAATGACATAACACCCATATCTGGCACTTGCCTAAAAAGACGGTTTTATGAGGTGTGTGTAGATTACACAAACATTTAAGTTACCGTGGAGCTGGTTCACCCTCCACCTATAATCATCTGAAGCGGTTTCTCAATCAGAAAAACGAACAAGAACACAGAGACCAAACTGTGCTGGTTGAAGTGGATAATCATACAAACAATTGTATCTAATGATTATTTATGTACTACTCGATTAATTTTTTTTATCAAATATTTGTACTTTATTTCAAATGACAAAACAATTTTTAATAGTTTTAGTTAACTGATGTGAGATGTAGGCTATTTGCAGCTTATTTAGTTGTGCATTTATATTTTTATTTTATGATATTCTCCTTAATTTCTATGTAGTCATGCTTTTTTTTCTCTTAAGTTTGCTGCTCTAAATTTGGTTCTGTTGCATAAAATGACAATGTTTGACATTATGTCAGTGACTTGTTAAACAAACCTTACATAGTTTTTAACAGACTACATGTGCACAAATACATTTAGGCTACTTGCTTACACTGTCCATTGTGCTTCTGTGATGGTTTTTTAGGTTTTTGAAGATCAGTATCCATGTGCAGTGGTAGCAGAAAGAAAGTTTTGAACAATGCTAGTCAACGCCAATGGTGAGTCATGCATCATTTGAATCATTTACATCCACATAATCATTTTATAGTGGACTCGTGTATGCTTGTATATATATATATGAGAGAACCTGGTATGATTAAACTGTTTATAGAGGCTTTGATGATCTGTCTGTATTATGTGTAAATATACACGCTTTTCAGCTGAATTGTGGGTAACAGGTGAACTCTGGCTAGACGGAACAGATTGTGAAAGGTTAGAGGGTTTGGAATGAGAGTCTGTGGATCAAATGTGTGTGTCAGAGACAGACAGCAGGCTTGTCTTTGTGTGGTAGTGTCTTGTGTCCTTGTAAACGCACTGCTCGCTCGGGCACCAGTGTTTGCTGATATTGAGCGGTCTGTGACAGGGTTTGGGTGTCACTGTCTTCATATCTTTTGAGAAGAGTTGGCTAATCCGTCAAATCTGCCAGTTGGGGCATAATCGTCACAAAAACGGCTGTTGGAGACAACACTACACAGAAATGAGTGACCTTCATAAACTAGTTTTTATTTTGGGGAATCAGTAAAAATAAACAAAAATGCTCCAAACGCAGTAAAATGAGTCAACCCATTAGGAAGTGTGTTTACAAGGACTTGATTGTGCATAAATGTTGTGTTTGAGGGCAGTGTTAATCAGGAGCTGGGGCAGAACAGTAAAGTGCATCGTGGATTAAACCAGAAAACAGAGACCATGGCTAATACGGGTGATCCAAGGAAGGTTTTTCCTCAGTACATTTGCATATCATTAGCATGCACTGCACTGAAACAACACAGTGGTGTTTTGGTGGCATCATCAGACCTTGCCTCACTCACTCATGCTTAGTAAATATGATGCCAATTTCCTAAAGGAAGTCCATTGTCTCTTTGAAATATATATTTATAAATCCACAACTGTTATTATTAAAATCATTTATGCCATTGTGCATTCCATCATACGGGTTTGTGTATGGGGTTTGCTACGTGTCTCTAGCTTTCCAGCAGAATATTGCAGTTGTGGGATCCGCAGAAAGCTCCAGGCCAAAAAGGGGCTTTACGTAATGCCTCACTTTAAAGTACAGCCATGTTATGTGATCTTGTGTTCTACTTTACTCTCTTTATATAGAATTGATCAAGTTCCTGCTGCACTTTTATGTATGGTTACAGGGTGTCTACAGATATGAACAAGTTCAATTTAAGACTTTTTAATACCACCTTATGTGAAATTTAAGACCACACTTGTGATGGAAATACACATTATATTAAATACGCATATGTAATATTTAATGTGTTTAATGTAAAAAGAAACAAAATATCATCGCTGTCAAAAATGCTATTTATTATTACGATATCCAGTGAACTTTTCATATCAGCAGACAATATCCCATACAAAATATCCCCACAAAAGCACAGCATCACCAAGATTTTCATCACTGTTCTATCAGCTTTTACATACTTAAATCTGCATGTTTTTTTAATATTTACCCCAGGATGTTGTTTACCCTTTACAAAGGCCAATATTTTTTTACCTTATTCAATATGTCATCTTTCATGTCAAATTCTTACAGTTGATCAAGAAATTCAATATACAAGCTCTTACCAATCAAATTAAATAATTTACACTGCAAAATTACAATAATGTTATGAGATTAATGTTTTAAATAACAATTTGAATATGTGAACTGTGCTGGCAAAATGTCACAATTAGCATTTTTTCAAAAATGAGTTATTTTCATTTTCACATTCTCCATTAAAGGACCTTCAGAATGATGTATGATTTGTTGGAATCGGACGAAAAATGACTGCACTACACCTGTTTGAAGTCGACAGAGTCAGCAAAGTCAATTTTGACTTAAGAGTTAAAGTTTTCTGAAGGTTCCAAAGCAGAATCACCTGCAGCGTTTCATCTTTTCCTCCATTTCTAATCTTAATAATAATTTCTATATTAATAGTCACAATATAGCTATTTTTAATTTTATCTTTGTTATTATAAATAAGAATAGAAGCAAAAAATAGAACAAATATAAAAAACAAATAGTGCATTACCTTTTTCATTTTGCATCTAAACAAAAAGCATTCAAGAAAAACAAAATAATCAAATGTAAAAATCCCTTTAGTGTGTTCGTTACAAATAAATGTATTATTAAAACTACAAAAGCAGTTCAGTCAAGAGCATGCGAGTGATTCTTTTATTGTTAGATTAACATTAATGAGGCAGCCTATATTAAGACCTACTGTAATGCATGGATCTAATATATATAATAATAATATCTATAGTCTTAAGTCGCTGGGGTATATTTGTAGCAATAGCCAAAAATACATTGTATGGGTCAAAATAGATTTTTCTTTTATGCCAATAATCATTAGGATATTAAGTAAAGATCATGTTCCATGAAGATATTTTGTAAATTTCCTACTGTAAATATATTAAAACTTAATTTTTGATTAGTAATATGCATTGCTAAGAACTTAATTTGGACAACTTTAAAGGCGATTTTCTCAATATTTTAATTTTTTTGCACACTCAGATTCCAGATTTTCAAATAGTTGTATCTCTGCCAAATATTGTCCTGTCCTAACAAACCATACATCAGTGGAAAGCTTATTATTCAGCTTTCAGATGATGTATACATTTCGAAAAATTGTTCGTTCACTGAAGACATAACAGATTATGTTTGCGTGAATACTTAAATACTGTAATTCTGTGTATATGTATATTAAACATCTAAAATTATTATTTGGAGCATTGGGATCGCTAGACGAGGGCTTAATGATCTCATTTTTGTGAAAACCTCAAAATCGACTAATCAACATTTTTCACTTTTTTGCCTGTAGTTCAAAATTAGCCCCTGCGCATTCCGACTCATTTTGCCAGCACGGGTCACTTATACAAATATGACATGTTGGGGAAAAAATGCATAATTTTAAACATGAGACTAAACCGCCAGTAGGTGGCGGTAAGTCACTTATTCCTTCAAAACGCCGAATAATTCAGGAACAAAAATGCAGAGTGTTGCTTTGAGTATGTGCAGTACTGTTCTGATCTTTGTTTGGAACTATTTTAGTGGGTGAAATAGAACAAAACAGTCAATATTGAGTCTAAATTGTAATACTTCTTGTTTGTAGAACGAAAATCAATGTAACATTTGCAACCGTGAAAATATTAAGCACAATAGCGCCATTGTTATGTTACTTAA